GATTCTGGGTAACACTACTGGAACACTAATGTAAATACATTATTTCAGCAATCCATCCAGTGGCTGTTGATATAGTTTACAATGAGTTCAAGTGTTTGACAAACCAGCCATTTTCTCATATGAATTCTGGTCAATGTCCACAGATCTTTTACAACAGTTTCAATGTCTATTTGTTGAATATGTCATGTATGTACATTTTTGCAACACTTCCTGAAGCCTAGCCGTTTCAAAATAAAAGCACTACAGCATTTCTGTTGAGTGAATATGTTCGCTTGTATAAAAAGGGTTTTATTGCAAAATATTGGCAGGAACGGAAGATGCATGGCTTCATACTGTATAGCACTGGTATTTAATTCAGTACAAAGAACTACTTTTAAACAAGGAAATACAGCAGTCATAATAGAAACCTCAGAAAGGCTGTAGTTATTTTAAGAGTTAACATAAAGAACTCTCTCTCAACAAGAAACAACCACTACATGCAGCAGAACCGCTGCACAGCCCCTCCATGGCGTGGCCGCAGCTGGTGTGACCCAGGCAAAAGACAGGCCAAAACAGGTTTGTTAACAGTTCTTTTGCAATTTTTTGTCTATTTAACTGGTCTAAGTTTGAAAGACCAATGCAAAAAGAGCCCATCTTCCACAGAAACCCTTGAAGAGGCTCAAATGCCTAACTTGCATTCTAGTTTCTTTTGTGTGTGTAAAGCACCAAGCAACATATAACATGTAAACCGTAACCTGTAACATTTCCACCTGCTATGACAGAACTAATGGCTAGATGCTTTGGACAAAGTGTTGTTTGTCATTTGAATAAATTACGTGCTTAACATTTTAGATAGATGGAGGCTCTAGTAAAATTCATTGTCAAAATAACATGAAATATACAAGAAAAAACACATTGTACTTGTCACACTGTTCTGTATCATTTCATGAGTTAACAGCACAGAGGCCTGTAATTACATGATGATAATAAGGACTCTGTTAACTGGTTTTAAGACTCTATGAAGCCTTAAATTGTGGTCATACTCTGGCTGTATTTTCACAAAGACACATTAATTGACATTAACATCAACCCATTCAGACCAGTTGAGAAATATATCTTTCTCTCTAAGGGCATGGTTACACACCCAAATGTGAGAGCGAGGAGGCAATGAAAAGATTCACTTTCACATGAACCCATAGCAATGGTTTGACAAATTTAAGCCAAATAAATGCCATCTGCATATACCCTCTGGTAGTGCAAGGCATTTCCCCCAGTATCATGTTTTACATAACATAATATTTTACTTATATATGTTCAGGTCAACAGACCCAGGATAACACACATACATGCAAGCACACACATACAGTCTGTAATACCTTCAATAGATGGGGCCTGGTCTTGAGCAGCATACAGCATCTCTTTGAAAGCCTGCAAGAGGGAGAAATTAAACAATTACATTGATAGCCTCATCTTTTTAAATTATGTCTACAAGGTTATCCAGAGGTTTTGTAATTAATACATTAGTGGGATATTTTATAATGTCAAATATCATGATACATACACCCAGAGCATTGAACTGTCAGTGATTGTCTATAAATATGGAAGCCACCTCCACTTATTTCAACTGTACACAGATGAAGCTAAAATATCCAGAACACAGGCACTGCCATCTTGTCCTGCTGTTTGCTTGCTAAATAGTACAGCACTGTGCTATCCAAAAAGTTTAAGTGAGGGCCAAAAACTTCTAATAACAAGACATAATAATAACAAGGAGACATGCTTTTCAAGTAATACTGTCCTCTAGTTTGTTGTATAGTTTTTTAATATGTTTTTGCATATGTAAAAGGTCTGCAGAGTAAAGGTATAGCTCTTCTCCTTCTGAAGCTCCTTGTCAGTAGCCAGGCCGATACTTCAGGGGAACAGAGATGTCATCATGTTAAATCACGATGGCCCACATTTTCATAATGCACAACTTGTGGCTAGTCTGGTATCCTCCCTAAAAAAGCAAGGTAAAGCAAGAGCGAAGGCTAACTGTTCCTAAACAGCTAGAAGTGGTTGACCAATCACAAGGGTGGGCCAGCTGGCCAATCATAGCAGACTGGGCTTCAGGTATTGTACATAGCTGACTAAATCCAGTGTCTGTTTTAATGTAACCAGAATATAGTCTGCACATATGGTGACATTTTAGGAACTTCAAAACAGCAAAGTAGCAAATCACTCAGCATGACAGCTTTGTGCCAGATAACATTTTTAAATGATTTCTAATAAATAAATCATTACATCATAGATGTAATGAAGCATCTTGATTAGTCAGGTGAGATAAACTCACACACAAACACACACACACACAGAAAAGAAATGCTTGCGGTGGACACCGTGGACCAGATGAAGTAATGCCTCTACCTACACTCGCAAAGATCAAAATATTCTACATATTCATATAAAAATAAGTATGCATAAAATATCAATCCATTTGTCAGTAAAGACACATACTGGCTGGAATATCAAACCACACCATTGCACACAATTGTTTGCAGGATGCATAGCAATGAGGTAATGTATCGTAATTCTTATTCTGATCTCATCCTTCTTGTTTGTAAGAGATGTGGAGTTGGCAAGGGACACAATTGGAAGTGCTGGCCCAGAAGGCTTACCCTTTAGCCTAGCCCTTAGCCAAGTCTTTAGCCTAACGCGTAGCCTGGCTCGCTTGCACCAATTCTGTTTCCTCTCCCTCTGCCTAATCATAGGCTTTACCAGTCTGACCGCTATTTAAAAACTCCTTGTAGGAGCTTTAATGTCTTTCATGGTCTTTCAGTTTGAGAGAAGGGTTTTTTTTATTACTTTTTGATGATTTGCTTGTGTTCAAACGGTGCGCATGGACTCATGTTGTTCCTTCCTTTGCTCCAGCTTCAGCTCTTCTCTCCTTGCCTTGCTCTCAGATTTGTCCTCTGCTCTTATTTTATGCAATTCTGTCAAAATTCTCCAATCAATATATATCAAGGCAAAGTTTTTGATTGATGAAATTGTCTCACCCCCATTTTATGGGGATCATTATTATGTATTTGTCTGTGATGCACTCACTCTGTCCTCTGTTAATGCAGTGCTGGTGATGCAGTAACTCGGTGTCCTTCATGCTCTCTGTTAGTGAGTCAGCAGTGTATACTGCAGCTTGTCTCTGCTGTAGAGCGCATGAATGGACAACAGTCATTCAGTGTCAGTGATGGTAAGACAGGAGGACAGACATGGCCTTTTTCATCCACTCTCGATCAAGTGTTAGATAGTAGAGAGGTCAGTCAATGTTGCCGAATTCCAACAGAGCACAAGACCACAATGGCCTCACTGTGTGCACAGTGCCTGCCAGCTAGTTAAAGAACAGCAAAGTGGGACACAGTGGATTCTGCAGCCAACAGCAGAGCAAGTCAAGATCACGTTAAAACGATAGCAATAATTATGCGATAGAACTATTTTTCTATAGAATTTTAAGACATGTCGATATAACGTCTAAATAATTCATTCCATCTTGACAGACAACACTTAAAGCTAATGATAATAAGAATAGTGCCGCGCATAGCATAGAGTACAGGAGAAGCACACATGCTAATGTTAGGGCTCCTGCATAGAGGTGAATGACTCTGTATCGATACATTGACTGAACATAATCATGGTTTCTGCTACATTCATTGTTTTAGTGGTTTTCCACCACTGAATAATTAAAACTCGCACTGTTTCAGTACCAGGACAGACGGACATTAAAGGTCCTCCTATGTCAGTTTCCTCCCCACTACCCCTCTGATATTTGCGCACTTTACACGTTTACTTTGTGTTTGTTTGATTCGCTCTAGAGTTTATGAGACACATGTTTAAACATGCTACACAACATGAGACTGTGATGCACTTGAACATAAAGGACTATCTTCATGTTTTTTTGGAAATTACTGCAAATATTCTGCCTATTCCACCAAGGCAGTTCCAGGGCCAGACCCAGTGCCTAATCTGGAACCAGTTCTTTGTGTTCAGAAAAACTGGTTCCAGAGTGGCACCAACTCATTGCTGGTCTAGAAGTAATACTGGCTACATTAGAGGGCGGGATTGAGACGTCAACAGTCACATACAGTATATGGTAACTTAATGATATGGCTCTAAGGAGGGTCTAGCCCAGGGGTGGGGAACCTTTTTCACATCAAGGGCCATTTCAATTTTTCCAAAGTCCTCAGAGGACCATACCATTATGAACACATAACTAAAGATGAAAAAAAAGACAAAAAAAGTCTATAACTGCTGYGTTACTAAGCCTCATGTTTGCTGCATGTCTAGACTCACCTAATGTGATGGCTGGAACTGTTTTTCTCTAGCAAGGCGTCTGATATYAGCTGGCAGTGATGATGATGCTACTCGAAGCTGGTTTTCCAAGTTTGAGTCAGTCAGTCTTGAGCGGAAGCRAGTCTTTGCAAGAGTCAGTTTTGAAAAGAACTGTTCACAGCGATACGTTGTCCCAAACAGAGATGCAAACTTCAGGGCATGTCTCCTCAGGATGGGAAAATCCTCAGCACGAACATACAGTTTGTAAAAGTCCAGCAGAGAAAGGTTGTGGTACTTGGCTTTGAGCTCGTTGTTGTTTTGCAGATCAATTATTTCCATTTGGAGGTTGTCTGGCACATCAGACGGTTGCACATTAAATGGTGTCGCAAACACGTCGAGTTCCTTTTGTATATTTTTCACATCATGAAACCTCTCATCAARTGCCTGGATGAGTTTTGCACACTCACCAGCATATTCAGTCGTAACATCAGGCTTTTGTTCTTGTAGGGTGGGAAAGTKCACAGTGTTTCCCCTTTYCAGCTGTCCTTGCCACAGCCTTAACTTCACTTCAAATGATTTCACATTTGAAAGCAGAGAGCTGATGAGCTGGTTGGGACCTTGCAGCTTGATGTTTAGCTCTGACAGGTGCTTGCTGATGTCCACCATGAAGGCCAGATCACGGAGGAACTTGCCATCACTGAGCTCCATGACAGGTTTACCCTTCATCTCCATGAAGCGTCTGACTTCTTCCCGCAGTGTATAAAACCGGCGAGCATATTTGCACGACTCAGCCATCGCACTTCACAATGATAAACCAGATCACCATACTCTGACTCAATCTCGCTGAGTAACTCCTTGAACTGGCGGTTGTTCAGCCCTCTGCCTTTAATGAAGTTTATGGTGGACACAACTGTTGTCATCACATTGTTAAGCTTCAGGGAATGTGCACACAAACTCTCTTGATGTATGATACAGTGGCATACAACTAAATCACTTGGATCCAGACTCAGTCGGCTCATTTCTTTTTTGACTAAAGCAGTCAATCCTTTTTGCRCGCCAACCATTGCGGGAGCTCCGTCAGTGGCGATGCCGCTCAACTTCTCAAATGGCAGTTCAAAATTGTTCATGGCCACAATAACTTGATTGAACAAATCCTCACCTTTAGTAGTGCCATGCATGGCTTGCAAAGACAGCAACTCCTCCTTTGTTTCAAACTCAGACGTAATCCCACGCAGAAAAATGGCAAGCTGCGCTGTGTGTGTGATGTCTGTTGTCTCGTCACAGGCCAGAGAAAAATACTCRAAGTCTCTTGCAGTGTTCTTGAGTGTTTTTTCAATATCTTGCGCCATATCAGTAATCCTTTCTGAAACGGTTCTCCGGGACAAACTGACGCTTTGAAATGATTTCACTTTGTCGGGGGCTAGCAGCTCCGCGGCGGCTACGAGGCACTCCTTCACGAACTCTCCTTCAGCGTGAGGTTTCAGCTTCGTGGCTATCAGTTCACTCACCACAAAACTTGCACGCGTAATATTCTCTCTGTCAGTCTGTGGCCGTGTGAWAGCTGCCTGTTGAGCACCCAAACTCCGACGAAGAGCGTTAATTTTATCCAAACRCATTTGTCCTTTCAACTCGTCGAGTTTAGCATGYTTCGAGCTGTAATGGCGCTCGACATTGGCCTTTTTCATCACCGCAAGCGCCTCGCCACAAACTAGGCACACTGGCTTGCCTTTCACTTCAACAAAGAAAAAGTCATTTGTCCATTTTTCCTGAAATACGCGGCATTCTCCGTCCACCTTCCTTTTCTTGACAGTCGCCATGATGCATCACTTGTCTGTGTCGGTACTTGTCATGTGTCAGTCACTCCGACCCAATGCAGTGGTACGTACATCACATGCTGTGTTCACTGACCCTGACGTTGACTCGGACATAGGACTCTCTCTCGGAAAACTAATGACGGGCGATATATTTTTTTTCCTGATTTTTTTTTTAATTCATGTATGCATATATGAAGATATAAAATATAAAAATTGTATTGCATTGCGGGCCAGTTGAAATGGCCTCGCGGGCCGTATACGGCCCGGAGGCCGGACGTTCCCCACCCCTGGTCTAGCCCATGGAAAAGCAGTTCTTATAAGCTTTGCAGGTTAAACCAGCACTAGCACAAGTCCAGCACTATAGCACTCGGTTCACTTTGATGGAAAGGGGGTAAGGAAGTGCTTTTTCTTAACCAAACACACAGTGCTCTGTAATTGTTTGTGTTTTAATTGTGTAAATACAACCTGAGGTATAATCTGAGGAAAGAACTCAGGATCAATACAAAACAGTTTGCCAGTGTAACCTGAGATGAAACACTCAGCAGGTAGAGGGGACAGAGAGGAGAGGAGGGAATCAAGTGTACTGCTGGGAGACCCATGTACTTCAGCTAGCATTCCCATCAGCTCCACAGACTTCACTGTACAAACAGCTTGTTTTCACTCAATCACAATATATCCACAAGCCAAGTAGAAGCTTACTCCCAATTCAGGCCTCGTATCTCCTAAATTTTTCCACATGGCATCAACATTCCAACATGCTGTGTGGGAAACAGACAATCAGTCAGACAAAGTGTACCTTAAGATTCATACAACTGCCATATTTCCATTCCATGATTTCCAATATTATGAATACCATAATTTTTATTGTCCTCATGATTTAAAAAGAGAGAGGCAAAATTAAGTCTATTAAACACAAACTCTCCAGTTACCTTAAAAAGCTGTCTCAACCGATTAAAGTTTCTATGCCACTGATGATGTAATTAATTACCCTACAATAAACTATATAAACTATAAACTGTCTATATATCATTCAACAAGTACTACTCTAATGTTAAGAGCGAGATAGGGGATGGTGTGTTTACTTCTTATGAAAAACACATGGAGACCAGTGAGTCTTCAGTCAAACTTCTTGCATTAGCTGAAGAGCAAACTGCTTCATATAATATAAAATACACATATTATTGTCAATTATAATTTCAGTGAGTCTTTCCTCTAGTAAAAATTAAAAAGCATGAAACCCCTAGTCACTAGTCCGGCCAATACTTCCGGGGTAGAGCTGAGCAATATGGCCTATAACATTAGGTATATCGGAATATTTTGAAATCTCCTCTAAAGCACTGTACAAATGTTAAATTCATAAAAGTCCACAGGAAGTGGCTAAGCTAGCGGACTTTAGCATTTCCGAAAGTCCCTGAATGCATCTTGTCAAAAGACACAGCAGACACTGTTGTGTTTTAGGCTTAAGACACTCCTTCCTATGGAGGACCAAAAATTACTTAAGTATAAATAAATAAATAAATACAGAAATAAACAAATGACTTAAATTTATTTCCATATTTATTTCAGTCTCATGCAGGATTAGTCACAGGACTGGGATGATCCAGTTTTACCATTTCTGCCTGTCAATGCTGACTATGTGTGTCTCGTCTCATGTTGTAGGAAACAAAAACTCCAGCTCGATACAAACCAACTACAGCTTCTCCTCTGATCATGAAGCAGCTGATCACTGAGCAGCTGTGACCAGAGAAACTGTGTGTTTCACTGTTTCCGCTGTTCTTCAACTAAGTCTCTGACCTGCTGCCTCATGAACGAGCTCTGATCTCACTGTGTGTCACTCTGAGCGAGTGAGTGGGGGCAGAGCCCAGGGGCCTGTGTGTCTCTGCGCTGGCTGGCTGGCTGGCTGGCTGGGTGGGAGGGAGCGCGCGCGCGCGCGCGCGCGCGCGCGCACACACACACACACACACACACACACACACACACACACACACACACACACACACACACACACACACACACAC